CGAGCAGTTTCGTCTCTCCAATTTGTGTAAGCTTGGCTCTTGAAACTCGAGCATATCACTGCCGGTGTTATCATCTATATCATTTCTCACTCCTTGGCTTCCATCTAAACCAACCAGCATTGCTATTTGCGATTGGGTATGTGCTAAGATGGTTTGGCTGTAATCCTCCAAACACCGCCAACAGTGCATAGCGCAGCTTGAGTCCATGGTGGCTCGGTGGGAAAACTGATAGTAGAGGCACGGGTGCAATGGTCATAGGGTGACGGTAAGGTGCGCTAATGTTGAAGACTTTGTCAGCCATATGCTTTTAAATCAAAACTGTTAGCCTTTTGACCAGACTGGATACCATCAAGAAACGAAAAGCGTTTTCAAAGCAAAGATGTACATGGCATGTGGATTAGCATACCCACCGAGGACAGGAATGAGCGGTATCTTGATGAGACACAAGGTAGTGAAGATGGATCTGCTTACATTTGAATCAGCCCCAATCTATTACGCGCGACAGAGGAAGTAGGTTGATTCCTGTAGACACAGAGAAATGAGAAGGGGACCGACCTGATAACCAAACGCGCGGGAATGGATTTGAAAGTATGAGGAACACAGGAAGTTCTCACTGTCGGGGTGATATCAATAAAAAATAGCTTAGTATGCTTGCAAGGAGTTCTAGAATGATAATGGTGGTAAAAAGCTCACTGCTGTTTTCAAATAGTGTCGTTTAGACACAATGACGTCGTGACATGGCACCAAACAAAAACAAGTTTCGCTCTCAAAGGTTACTGATCCTTAGTCAGAAGGTTGTGTATTGGTCCAGGATGGCAACTTACTTTTCGCGCTAGGACAAAGAGACCTCCGAGTAATGGCCGATCTGAGACTGATCTCGGATCCGGGTGCGTTGACAACTTTGGTTTTGACTGATTGAGGGGAAGACGAGGGCCAGGACCTAAAGTCTAATTGCTTGCCGCCAAGCCGTATGCGAACTTGTCAGAAGGATGTGAGAAACTGCAAAGGCCGTAAACGTTGTTCATAATTCCGAGCTTTGCTCAGAATCGGAAACCTCCACGAGGGAGCGCAGATACCCGGAATATACACGTGATCAAGAAAGACCAACAATCAATGAGAGGAAGGCTTGGCGCAAGAGTCACGAGTTTTCTGCAACCTTCAGTCAGCGCCGCGCGAATATACTTATTTCGCTCCTTCGAACAAATGAGTTCTTGAGGTCAGCATGATTTATATTGCAAGCCCATCATCGATGCAGTAACCACACTGCACTTTAAATGGCGATCCCTGCTTTTGGGCGTAGTGCCCAAGTCCATGCGGGCAAACATGCTCTACTGCCGAGGGAACACGGTTCCAGCCGGATTGGGGTCTTGCAAGCGCCATCTTGACCAGATCGGGTAACGACGACTCCACCAACATCTACGACGGACTTTTGTGGTGTGATCTACTTGACTTGGAGCCGCAGACATGCCCCTATTCCATTTCTCCCGAACGCAATCATATGAAGGCTGGTTTGGGGTAGAAACTTCGGCTCAGGTTGTGGGATATAATCAAAGAGGTCGCACAGCAGGATAGCTCTTGGTGGTGTTGTTACGGACTTCAATGTCACCTTCAAAAAGGATCTGATTGGACAGTGATATACCAAACGTCGTCCAGGGCGCGTGAGTATGAAAGATATGTACTGGATGCTCAACGACATTCGATGCAGCGGACGCAGAGAACTCATCCATTTCCTGACAAGAGCTGCTTGCGCGCCATATGTTAGAAGGCGACTTCAGTGAGGACATGGTAAACACGTTCGGCTTCACTAACCTGCAAGCGGCATCCAGGGTCAATGGTCTTTGCACGTTTTGCTTCGTCTTGGATGGAAAGGCGTCCCTAGACATCAAGTATACCAGAATCTGTCCAAAGACACCACAACTTTTGTGACAGCGCCCTTGATGCAGCATCGTCTATGTCCGATTAGTTCGGACCCTCTGAAATAAAAGTCAATTCATACCTCTGAACAACAACAGTTAGACCTGTATCTATACCACTGGATTGTGACCCACACAACGCCACACCAATACAACTAACATACAAATGCTACAAGAAGTAGATAAAGTTGGTTGTACATCTTACCTAACGGCGGCGGCTAGAGTAATGCCGACAGCGAGTTCAGCTGAGCCTTGTGGAGGGCGAAGACGGAACCATGTTGGCAGAAAAAGACAGCTCGCGGGTCGGCAGGCGAGTCTCGACAATTCTATCCGTACCGCGTCACAACGTAGCAAAACCAGCTCATCTATATTAATCGACAATTATTGTTAATCTGACTCTGGGAACTAACACATAGATCCTAAAAACGCCAAAAGCAATTCTAGGAAATGTGTATCCCCTGGGAACTCCTCTTTAGCCATTTCCTGTTTCCAGGAAACCGAGGTCTACCCCTGGGATCTCCACTATACGATCCTGATTGAATACGAACTGGTTTTGGGAACACATTGGCTGCATCTGGGAGCTGTCCCGCTCCTGGGACCCTACTTCTGGATCCTAGAGTCAAGGTTATGCCCTCTTGAGGTCGCGGAGAGCTCTCACAAGATATCTTCACCAGACCTGCGCACCAAAATGAGTCATTCAATAACTCCCGAAAACTCAAGCCATAGCCCCAGAAACTGCACTTGAGGTTCCAGGAGGTGATGAATCTGTCAGCAGGAACATGACTTTGGTTCCCCGAGGTGAAAGTACTAGACCCCAGAAGCTATGTCGGGCTTCCTGGGGGCTACGTGGCTTCCAGAAGCCGCTTATTTGCCCCCAGTGATTGCACTAAAGTCCCCGGGAGCAGGAGAACTCCTAGCTACAAGATGTGCATTCCCAGGGCTGATAGAGCTGTCAACAGGGGCGTGACTGATTTTGTGAGGGTGGAAATTAGAGGTTACGTACGATTTCCTCGGGCTATGTGATCCCTGGCAGCTCACATCATTCTTGGGTCGGCTTTTGAAATCTTGACGGCCACCAAGGTTGATGGTTATTTACGCAGAGCAGGTCGTCAACCATCACCTGCTTGCTACGTCAAGCCACCCAGCATACTCCTCCAATTTTGGCCACGATTGGTTGGCTAGTCAAATCAATCGATGAGCATGCTTTGGTTTCAATCAGGAAACTGAATTGGTAGATTATCTTATCAACTCTGTAAAGTCCATGACCCTACTCGTCGCATCTCTCTAATGTTTTTGGACTCCACCTCCCGCATGGAAGTGAATTTCCTCAAATTTCTAAGCGTATGTATAAAATCTTTAGTAAACCTACTGTAAAAACTAAAACACCGTTTAAAAACGGTAATCTATGAGGAACAATCAGAAAAATCATACAGCTCAGTTAGGAGAGGTCGCAAAGTTTTCTGTAAATAAGGGCGGGCGATGCTCGCCCTCTTATTTTTTTTTTTTTTTTTTTTTTTGGCGAGGTCTAGCAACAACCGTCCTATATATTTTACCATACCCTAAGGAGGACTTAATAGAAGATTTGAATAATTATTCCGTTTTGTCTGTTATTATAAAGATTAGAATAAGAATTTTAGTTTATTTTTACAAATTAGGTGTTATGTTTGTAAACTATCTCGAATACCTACTCTGCTAGCTGTCTTTAAGAGCCAATCAATTTGAAAGAGCGAGGCTCGGCGTATATGCCCCTCGCCCAAATAGGCTTCAAGCTGCGCCTCACATCAGCAACGTCGGAACAAAAGGTCTATGCGTCTTCACCTCTCAGTAGTCTTTTTTATTTTCTTCTTTAGTTTTGGCCTCCAAAAAGGGCTTATCGAGCACTAACCTAAGACTGTACATTATGCACAATGACTTTTACCGATTCAGTCCTCTATTCTGTATACGGTCTTCCACCCCCAACTATCGGTATATGTAAAGGCTAGATGCAGGTACTAGCGGTCGGAATCTCTAGGAGCGGAACTGATAGTCTCCGCGAGGCTCTACACATTCTAAGAGTAAACCATACCCACTATGGTTTCGATACAATTCTCCCTCCTTCGTCACTAGAAGCGATATACAAACTCCTCCAAAAGAAATATACTACAGCTATAAAGACAGGAGCAACCAAAAAGTTAACAGCTGAAGACTTCGATACAGTCTTACTTAATAGTGTTGGCGTCAGCGATCTATTCGCAGCGGAATTCGCGCCTGAGCTTATCGAAGCCTACCCCAATGCAAAAGTCATTCTGAATGTTCGCCATGATCTCGACGAATGGCAATCTAGTGTGTAAAATACAATGGGGTATTTCGATAAGAGTCCTATGGATTGGGATTGGTGTAAATCTTGGTTCAGCGCCGAGCTATTTTGGATTCGTCAAACGATGTCGAGAACAATGATGCCGAGATTCTTCAGAGGGAGCTTCGAGTCAAATGGGAAGTGGGTTTACGAGCAGTATGTTGCGATGGTCAGGGGTCTAGGTCTTCCGGAGGGGTAATTTCTCGAGTGGTCTGTTGAGGATGGCTGGGGGCCTCTTTGCAAGTTCTTGGGTAAAGCTATACCTACTATCGAGTTTCCAAATGGAAATCCTCAGAAGGTGGGGTGGGACCCTATTATTTCGAACCTATAGATAAACATTGGCTATATTAGGTACGAACCGATAAAAGGAGACGAGTAAAGAGATGCCGTCCGATAGTCTCGCCTGATCCTACTCTGCGTTGCTGAGCCGGTCGATGTATTCTAGCAGGTGGAACTAACAAATGGAAACGAGCGAGCGAGAGAGGACCGGATATATACGGCGATGTATCGAAGGCACTGTCAGATATCCTGTGGTGTCTTTTAATATACGGTGGCTGGATCTGATGCCTAGGCACGCTTTTCTCTATTTAAGTTAGAGTAATATGTATAGTATGTGTAAAGGTGATTTACCCTCGAGGTCACTGTAGCTGCAGGTCAGCAGTGCGTCCTCTACGTCGAATGCCCTTGAGTATGGCTTATTTGTAGGCACTGCGCTTTGATGATATTTGGTATATCACCGTTCGAGCTGATCCTTTGTGAAGGTGGGTTTCTGCATAACTTTACTCGGAGCTATCCTCTGTGCGACCTCTCTGACTATCTATGATAGCCTATGCTAAAATTTCTACTACTGATCAGTATTTATATGATTGCTTTCGGACGGGATCAGGGGTATTTCTGCTGCGGCTTTAAGCCAAGTAGATCGTATCGCAACGTCCGTCGTAAATGCTGGCCGAATCGTCTTTACTAGATGTGGTCAAGATAGCGCTTGCTAGACCCGATCGGGGTGCAACTATGTTCTCTAAACGGAAGAGTATGCTCGATTGTATAAACTCGGGTACTATGCCTAAAAGCAATGGCGATCGCTTTGGGTGCAGTGGTAGATGTCGATAATGGGAGAGGATAGGCGATATAAATCGTAGTTGCTTACGGGATTATTTACGGGGTTACGACGGCTCCTATGTAGAAGCAGCCAATCGGAAATATTTGAGCTAAGCCTCTCAATTTCTTCGCTGTCTTTATCGGGAATCCACTTTGACTCGCGATAGTTTTGGATGTAGGCATTCTACAGTAGAGTAGGAGTGGGTGACTTACAAGCCGCCTGAAGCGGCCAATTCGACTACGCGAGGAACAGTCTGTCGTATCACTATAATTACCTGAACAACAAATTGTATCGAGCGCTCATTCAATGCTTCATCTATACCTGGTAACCGGGCCTTACAAATTTTCGGTAAAAAATACCAGACCCTCTATAGGAGGGTCCGCTACCCACTTTGTAGTTGCACCTAAATTGTAGATTTTATCTAGAATTCAATTCCAACCCTTATTTTAACATATATATAAATGGATTTAATACATTTTAGATAAGAAATGAATAAAATACCTACTAAGTTATATGAATTTAATAGCTATAACCCGCCCCTATTTCTTTTGTATGCGTCTATGCCTTCTGATTTATATGTTGACCTTGGTCCATTTCCGCTTCCGTTTAGAAATATCCTCAGCTTCGGTGTATTTATATGCTTTGTATTTAATACTCCTCAATTTACTAGCATTGATAATGCCGGTAGTATGAGCCCTTACTCGAGAAGCATTATATCTGGCGCGGCGAGTAGCTCCGATAGCTGAAGTTATATCCAATTCGGACTGCAATATACGCACTAAAGCAGTATGTATTTCAGCGCTTTTCGCGATCTAACCGTTGTTGCAGCGTTGTTCACGCAAAGGCCGTTGGGTAAGTTAAACTGGTCGTGGAAGTCGGTTTGCAATACGCTGCTGACTGTCGCTCCTATTATAGCGCATATGGAGAATTTGAAGCGACCAAGGACTGCTCCGACCTCACCTGCGCGAGCTTCCTCAGCAAAGTGGGAAAAAAGACTTCTGTTCTCCTTCGTGTTTCTACCGTCGGTCCGGAAGCGGGCTCTACACTTCACGGGACGTGCATGGATGGGCGATGAAGATGCACACCGACGAAGGAAACCTCGACTGGGTCTTCAATAATACGGTGAGTAACTCTATCGTTCTGTGATAAGGAAAAGTCGCTAACCAGAGTTCAAGCCTGTGTTCTTTATTCGGGATCCCATCAAGTTTCCCTCTGTGAATCGCTCCCACAAGAGGAATCCCCGATCCCATTTGCCCGATCCAAACATGGTACGTCTCGAGATTCGATCACAAAACAATTCAATAATGAACTAACACGAATATAGTTTTGGGAGTAAGATCCATAGATACAACCGTGATTTTCTACAGTATTGACATACTTTAGCTTCCATGTCGGGAACCCTGAAGGCATCCACCAACTTTTGGTTCTGTTCAGTGACAGAGGAACCCCAAAATCCGTTCGATTCCTCAATTCATACAGTGGACATACTTACAAGTTCACAAAAGCAGTAAGTATAACAGTTATAATGACGATCATCTATCGCTAACTGGCTAGGATGGCTCGTTCAATTATATCAAAATCCACATGAAGACGCGACAGGGCGTGAAGAATTTCACACAGGAGGAAGCAACTCGCGTCGCGGGAGAGGACCCTGATTACATGATCAGAGACATGTTCGATGCCATTCAAAGAAAAGAATTCCCGCAGTGGGATGTTTTTGTCCAAGTAATGAGCCCTTCCGAGGCCGAAGCCTATCGCTGGAATATTTTCGACATGACAAAGGTTTGGCCGCAAAAGGACTTCCCATTGAAGAAGATTGGTAAAATGACCTTGAATCGCAATGTGAGCTATACCCCGTTCCTGCGAGTGATGCCCATTCTAACTATTTAGCCCAACAACTATTTTACCGACATCGAACAGGCTGCTTTCTCGCCTTCAACTATGGTACCCGGATTTGCAGCTTCTGCTGATCCCAGTAAGTTACATATCAAATGATACCTAAATGACCTGCGGTTAATTCCCAAACCTAGTTCTGCAAGCCCGTCTTTTTGCGTACCCCGATGCAGCTCGGTATCGCCTTGGTGTCAACTATCAACAGCTCCCTACCAATGCCGCCAAAGTCCCCGTTTACTGTCCATTTGAACGGGATGGAGCAATGCGATTTGATGACAATTACGGCGCTGACCCGAATTACGTTGGATCTACCCTGCAGCCAACCCGCTTCAAGACTGAGGAAAATGGCGTTACCTCACAGTCACTGAGCCTCCATACCGACCACGAGAAATGGGTTGGCGAGGTGTCAACTTACACCAGTCAGGTTACCGACGAGGATTTCGTCCAACCTGCAGCTTTGTGGGAAGTCCTTGGCCGCGAGCAAGGGCATCAGGAGAGGGTCATCCAGAACCTTGCAGGAAATATTAGCGGGGTTACATCATCGAAGTTGCGCGATGGTGTTTACGGTTCGTTCTCCTTGTACGAAGTTCAACATATGGCCTTTGCTTACTTTAATCTTTGCAGCACTTTTCGGTCGCGTCAATCAAGAGCTCGGGGCTAAGCTTAGAAAGGCGACGGAGGCCAAGGTTAAGAACTAAATGGCTCGAAGTATGTCCAGTATGGATGGTGAGGGAAGAATCTGCACGGGAAGAGAAAAAATTGATGTCTTAGGCATCTATCAAGAACTATCGCAAGTTCCGCTCGATTTCCTGTATTTTCACGAGACCAAATTGCAACTACTGTACCTCAAACCTCCCCACCTGATGATAAGTAAGTGAAAGGGTTAGGAGGGAAAACATTTTTAAAAACTGGAAATTGATGAATTTTTCTCGTATTACACTATTCACAATTGAACTAAATTTCTTCTCTTTTGCAAAGTCGTGAGTCTTTCCGATTAATCACAAAGAGTAATCTCAATGGAACGCTTCCCCTCGCCCACCCTGACGTCTTTGATTTGATTTGTGTACAAGCACATAGGCATACGATTGACAGCCAGTGGAAGAAGCCACAATTAGTACTTGAGTAATGTTCACAAGAATCGTGCAAACTGCATCGATCAAGCATTTTGAGCTTGTTGCTATCTTACGTCAGTGTTATTAATTGGAAAAAGGAGTTCTAATAATATAATAATCCCGAACTGTCATCCTGATGCGGTTTATTGTGTCAACCGAGAACAGCCGACTGTTAAAGCGACTGATAGCTAGTGTTCCTCCTGTTTTCTGGATACAAAAATATGCACAAAAAAAATGGCTAAGAAGGAATCTAGCGAGCGAGCCATAGAATCACATCAATCCTCCATAGGTCTGGTCCTCGGCTTCCATCTCCTTGTCCTTCTCGTAGTACTCTTTGAGGGCTTCCTCATCCTTCTTCAGATAGTCTTCATAGGATTTCGGCTTATCCTTGTTGTTCGAAGTTCCATCCTTCTTATCGGCCGGGGAGTCTTCTTCGTGATTGTGATGATGATGATGCTCGAAAATTCTCTCAATGAAAGGCTCCTTGCCCTTCACCGGATGTTGAGATTGTGCTGGGCTTTGGTTAGTCACACAAGAACCTTGGAAGTCACACATTAAATAAGACGGCAAACCTTCAGACATGTTGATACTTCGTGGGAAATGACTTGGTTACCTTGCGATTTGGGAAGGGAGCGAATAATACGATCCTATGGCAAGATATATCACAGCAGACACCCCTTTGCTTTTATATTTTTATCTTATCGGTCGAGCGGCGATGACGTAGATGACCCCAAAATGAGCCCAATCCTAACCATGATCTCTCGAAGAAAGACTGATCGGGTTAGTAGACTGTTGAGTGTCCAACCTAGAATGTGAGGTTAATATTTACAGATAGAGAATTAAATGAATGACGGGGTAACAAGCCTTAAGGTATCTTGACCATGTTTGATGGAAGATCGGTATATCGTATTGACCAGCTGAATTTTTCTTTCCTCGCGGTGCAAATGGAACTGCGGGGAATTCTGAATCCGGTAGTACTAATTGGCCGATGAGAGGACGTATGGAATATCGCCGAGAGAGCATGCCGATCCCGAGATCAGGTCCGTCCCACTGCGCCTGCTTGGAGCCGGTGGGAAGCGTGAGTGCCCAGGTGCATAATAGATAAGGCAAGACGCCAGGTGAGCAATCATCTTTGTCAAGCGACTGCTACACTGATCCTCCGAGGAAGGTCCTAAGGCATCACCCTGGCTTCAAGGCGTAATGTGCTAATAGGGAAATAGGCCGGCTGGGGTTATCTATTGTGTTAGTATTATAGTTACATGAGTGGTACTAGACTTAGAACTATAATGGTTGGAGTTTGGTTTCTATTACATCATTCTCTTGTTTCTTATCATACGATTATAGAATGAATATCTATCGACCAATTATTTCACCAGAATGGAAGAAATCTCAAGAGCTTTTTCCGACGTGGAGTGGTCCCCAATATTCTCCATAGAGAATGGATTATTTTCAGCAGCGATTGACATAAATCGGAAGCAGCACGTGCTACAGGACCGACGATTGGCACTCAAACGCATCGCTCGTGAATCGGAAGCATACGAGATTGGAACGCAATGCCATCGAAATGTCCTTGGTATACATAAGTCAATGAAATGGTTTGTCCTCTTAGGATATGGTGGAGACATGTCCCAAAAGATCTTGGCACCTAGCAGGCCATTTCTACCGATTCCGGGAAATGTCTCATTAGAATTGGCGGCATTCATCGAGCCACTCGCTCTTGCATGGCATGCAGTAAAAATTTCACCGTTCAAGCCCGGCGACTCAGTGTTAATTTTAGGCAGTGGCCCTATCGGACTCGGTGTGGTACAAGTGTTGAAGCTTCACGGCGCCAAGAACGTCCATGGTATCTGAGCTAATGGACAACCGTGAGAAACTCTGCCCGGGCTACGGCGCAAAACATATATTGGACCTAAGAGAGGTATGTGTTGCACAGAAAACTCGCGAGTTGACAGACGGTATCGGCGCGCACGTCATTTTCGATGCTGCCGGCGTAGAAAAGGCGCTCGTGGGTGCGATCCCAGTTTGTCGCGTGCAAGGCACAACAGTCAATATTGCTGTGTGGAAAAAACGTCCGTCGCTCCCTGTGAGCCAGCTAATTTGCAATGAAATGCTATATATGGGTGCTGCATTATTTGACGAATCGTCAGTTACAGATACAATCCAGGCGTTGAGCTACATTAAGTTGCACGATATCTTATTTTGTCTGATTATAGATTTATTTCGGGACTTTTCTTAGTTTAAGGGTACCCCCCTTCTATCTCAGGTTTAGAGAAACTGAAACTGAAGCAATGATTACCGCGCGTATAACCCAAGACGAGGTTGTTGACAAAGGGTTCAAGGCGTTGCTAGAGCATCGCGACCAGCACTGCAATATCCTAGTGAATTCCCAGACCTAAATCGAGAACCTCTTTTCTTGCCTCCATAAAGCCGAACGCGTAAGAGGTATTGTCTGACCCGACAGATAATGTGCCTAGGGATTTTTGATGATCGATATTTGGAGAGAGATGGAGCATTTCTGACGGGCGGGTAGTCTTTACTTTGACCTCCGAAGGTATCCTAACGAGGCTCCTTTTACTCGAAATGGCAGCTAAGGGTGCCAGTAAGAATCAAGCGGACAAGAACAAGGTTAACCTGGCCTCTAGTTAGCTTTCACCTAGAATTACGATCAGGCTAGGTCATGCTTGCCACAAGAGCTGAACCTTCTCGCTGTAATGTACAATAGGGAGATCCTAGGTGTTCTCGATGGCTTCCATGTCCTCATTTCTGCCATATTTGGCACCATTTTGAAAAAGCCACGAAGACCTTTACATTTGTCTCCTGTGAAGGTCGAGAACGACATCCTATGCCGCGATGTTTGCCACGGCTCAATGGTCTTCAACCAGCTCACTACCGACACTCGCTAAGACTGATCAAACACTTTTCCATTACTTTTGCTGCGTCAATATAGCTCTCATGCATACTCTTCAAATAAAACCCAATCTTGTGAGACTAAGTTCGAATATACGACAAAGCTCAACAGTCATTAAACAGAAAGCTCGGCGTTGGCCAGCATAGTTGCATCATCAGATAGCTAAGGAACATCAATCCAGACAGATGCGATAGCAGCACAGCCTGATATTCGGGAAAGTGTGCCTTAAATGGCCGGCTCCCACTACAAAGTGAACCTAGACCATTAAGGGAGGGGCCAAGCATATAACATTGATTGACAGCACGTTTCCATAAGTCAAGGTGTATGTACACGCTGCTAAAAGGAATAAAACTAGCTAGGAAAGCTCAAGTCAAGTTTCCAAACTTTAATACAGTCAAGGTTATTGGAAAAAGCTACGTTCAGCAAAGCATTGGCGCGGATGCCGACATATTAATGAGCAGTTCATGCACGGCCCTTGATTGCAAGCTTTTATTCCTTCGCTTCTCTGCAGCTCTTCTGACCCAAACGCCGACCGATAAGACATTTGCACCTATATTCACGAGAGGATAAACAAGACCAGGTAAAAACTCGAAATAAGGTAGTTCCATATCATCTAGACATTCTAGCCACTGCTGTAAACAGTGCAGGGTGCTCTGGGAGGGAAGAATTGCAAACTGCAGTGTCATTATTTGGCGGCAAATTCAGATGGTGCGGCCCCTGGCGCACATTTCTAGTCTGGTTAAAGGGAACTTGCTCTACTCGAGGGCAGAAACAGTCGTCGATCTGGTTAACGTGGCCTACTTCCTGGGAACTAGGGCTATGAGTGTGGCTGAGAATCAAGGGGACAAAATGTCCGTTTTTCATGTCAATTTATTAACGTGCCCCAAAATGTCCTGCGCAGGCCACGTATCAACATAAATCATATTATTCTTCACAAAAGATGGTGCGTTTTCTTGTTGTAAGACCTCGCCGCCAGCACAGTCGAACACAATGTCGACGAGATACCAGTGGTGAGCATGGAAAATAGTGGCGATATCAGACTCATTTTGGGCTGGGAACTGTGGAAAGATAAGGACCTCATAGACATCGCAGTGATGGCGTACTCACCCACACGTGCAACTAGCAAAGGCTATATCACTTGTTGATTTTCGTAAGCAGTAGGTTGTAAAGCATCGTGGGAGGAACAAAAGTCTTTTCGTTTAACATCGTTAATACGGCTTTGGCTGATTTGATGGTCGATCTTTCCGATCGCGCATTGTACTTTATACTGCGTTTGCAGCGATAAAATTTACAATTGTGAATTAATACACCAACAAAACAGGTCGCCCTTATTATCCAATATGGCCATGGTCTTTCAGAAAATCAATATGCATGTCGGAAAGTACAAGATTGTGCAACGTAGGAAAGATCCTCAGATTCAAGATACCACCGACATAAAGTGAGGGAGACAATCAGACACTTGAAAAGCCCCTATCCTTAATCTAAAAGCCACGGGCCTGCCTGCATTGGAACTTCTTCCCATCCATTTTCGTTTATCCACACAGCCATGCTCTCAACATGGTCTTGCCCAAGATTGAGCCCATTATACAAATGCTACTTGAGTAGTCAGCTCAAGCTCGCATGCTGCCGGAAACAAATGAAACCGAATCCCTGAATCCTAATTTTTGACATCTGACGGATACTTACTGGGCAGAATGCCTCTTCGGGAAGAGCCTCGCTCACTGCACCGTCCGCTGGCTCCCAAAGAATGTCTTGCATAATTTTTTTGTACAAAATACGCAAGATATATACCATTGGCTCGCTTTTAAATATTGTTTTGAGGGCAATTGGTACTTGCCGCGCCGTTAGGAGGCGGATAAAACCCGAATCTTGATCGCCACGGCTGACCGGAAGTCGCTCAGGAAGTGGTTCCCGCACGGGGCAAGTAGACGGAATAACCTTGTAGATGTAGAAAGATGTCAAATTTGCCATTAGCTTCCTTCAAAGGGTGTCAGAATATCAAATTTCATCTAGGCGGTTATGGTTTTGCTAACTTGGATCACACTTCAGTCAGACACCCATGACGTAAGTCCTTAGCGCACCGTATTCTTCAGTGTTGTAGCATGTGTATGTTGGCTGTATTGTTATGGAGTTGTGTGGGTCACAATCCAGTAATATAGATACAGGTCTAACCCTAATGCATGAGTAGTGCGTATCAGGATGACAGAACAATACCATCAAAACAGGTGCTCCAACAATTTGAGAAAAAAAAAAAAATAACAAGGAAAAAAGAGTTAAGGTTCCAAAATTATTCTTAAGTGAAAGTAAGGATGTCTTTCTCTGAACCAATCAGGAAATAGGTTTAGAAACGGCCATTGAAGACCTCGTAGTTAACAGAGCACTGATTAGTAAATCAGGATGAAACGCCGAAAATTGAACGGATCTAAATAGTAAACCGAAACCTTAACTCTTGTTCTAGGCTGTTTCCCTTTAGACATACAACCTTATCGCATTATGTCCGATTATTTAACATTCATCTTTGCCCTTCTGGGTGCAAATACTCTCGGGTAAAATCACTGTAACCCTGCTAAGATGTTAATTAAATTACCTACTTACATAGACTTCGCGGAATACCAGCTATACTAGTCAGTTTTGTCTTTCACTAACTTACCACGCTTCATCTGATATGTATACAACGATAAACCGTTAGGGCTTTTATAACCCTGACCATGGTAGCCTTAAGATCTAATTCTAGATACCAATTCATTTTTTCATAAATTGGTTTATCTGCGTATTTACCTCCTAATTATATTAATAAATTACATAGTTAATTACATTATGTAATTTATTAATATGTTACTTGCATCTAAAATTTACTTGCTGACCTATCATGCAAAAGGTACGCTCTTATTATTTATTTATTTAAGTTTTCACAAAAGGTGAAGGCTCGGGGAGAGTCGCACCAAACCTGCCGTTGTGTGGGGGTAGACCCACCTAGGGTGCCTACCCATTCCGCGCTGCCTTTCTTCCTGCTGCCTTTCTTCCTGCTGCCTTTCAAGCTGCAGCCACAGATTTTATCTCTGCGTCTCCCTAACATTTGAGCGAGACACCGGTTCCTGTCTTGATCATTTTCAATCGTAGACCAACAAGTCGTCATCCTCAACAGTTGCCAACGGAATGAACAAGACATCTCACACGGACGAGCCCCTCGAGGGTGACGGCTACAACCAGAACCCCAATCCAAACTCTAAGGACCTGACCACGAATGAGGACTTTAACGGTCTTGTCAACAGTCGGGCCGTGCGGGAAAGCGACTCCCAAGCACTGTCAAACGCGGCCTCGAACGCCTCAGGGGAAATAGCCAGCCATGCTCCTATCCAAAAGGACGGGCACGGCAAGGCCACCTATCGGCTGGCTCAGCGGTCAATTGATCGTGGCCAGCCCCCTGAGGGTGGTATGCAGGTACCTGTAACCGCCCACCCCCCGGGGTTTCCGCCAGCTTCGGCTGGTGGTGACGCCGACCCTGGCACGCTGATTCAGCGCGCCCGGAAGATGCTTGCTATCTTTGGCTCCTTCATCGGACCGGGCTTTATGATTTCGGTTGCGTACAGTATGTCCAGGGCGCTGTCGTCCTGCAGTCTTTCCCTTCACCTCACTTACATATGTGCACCTAGTTGATCCGGGAAATTACTCGACCGACATCGCTGCAGGAGCCTCGTACCGCTTCCGCCTATTGTTCGTCGTACTCCTCTCCAATATATTTGCCATTTTCCTCCAGAGTCTGGCAATCAAGCTCGGTACCGTTAGTGGTTTGAACCTCGCCGAGGCATGTCGCGCATTTCTCCCGCGCTGGCTCAACTATATCCTGTACGCCTTTGCCGAAGCTGCCATCATTGCCACGGATATAGCAGAGGTAGACCCCTAGTTTGCTCCACGTTTCGTATGTTGTGCGTCGACAAATGCTAACTGGCCAGGTCATTGGATTTGCCATTGCATTGAACCTTCTGATTCCTAAGGTACCGCTGGTCGCGGGATGCGCTATTTCCATCCTCGATGTCATGGTAACTCTGTTCTTCTACCACCCAGAAGGGTCCATGAAGGGCCTAAGGTACTTTGAAATTTTTATCATTTGCTTGGTACTCGCTGTGGTCGTGTGCTTCTGCATTCAATTGTCTCTAATCCGTGGTACCATGCCCGGGGAAGTCTTCAAGGGTTATGTTCCGTCAAAATATCTCATCGAGTCGGAAGCGTGAGTTCAAAATTTTCCTCCACCCCCTTCATCTTCATCCTAATGTTTTTCCAGTATCTACCAGGCCTGTGGAATTCTCGGCGCAACAGTGATGCCTCACAGTTTGTACCTCGGGTCGGGCATTGTTCAACCCCGCCTACGCGAATACGATGAGCGGAGTAGACTCTTACCTCGTCAGCTTGCATCAGGGTATTCGGTTCTAGATGATGGTATCGACAAAGGTTACTACGTCCCGTCCTTCAGCGCAATTAAGCACTCGCTCACGGTATCGATTCTCGAGCTGGCCATTTCGCTCTTCACATTTGCCCTCTTTGTCAACTCCGCCATTCTTATCGTTGCCGGTGCCGCGCTATACAACAACCCAGATGCCCTCGATGCCGATATATTTGGTATTCACGATCTGCTTTCAAAGTCCATTTCGCCCGCGGCAGGTATCATATTCGCTCTGGCATTGCTCTTGTCGGGAGTCTCAGCGGGGATTGTCTGCACCATCGCCGGCCAGATGGTCAGCGAGGGCGCGCTGAACTGGAATATCAGGCCATGGCTACGCCGCCTCGTGACCCGGACTATTAGTATCACACCGAGCATCATCATCGCGGGAGCTGTGGGTCGTGAGGGGCTTAATGCAGCACTCAATGGGTCGCAGGTAGCGCTGAGTATTATACTTCCGTTTGTTACCGCGCCGCTGATCTACTTTACCTGCCGCGATAAGTATATGACAGCCTATCCCGGCAAAGCGCGTTGGCGCATGGCTGGTAGGGATGACGAGAGCGACGTGGACCAAGTAATTGGGGAGGGAGCCGAGCTCGAACCCGAAGGTGTCAAGATGACCAACTCGTGGTACACAATGATCCTCGCCGTCTTGATTTGGCTCTTCATGTCAATCATGAACGTGGCTAATCTGGTGTTCCTGGGCAAGTAAGTGCCACAGTACCGCAATGGCTTGGTGGGGAGCAGTTGCAGGAGGATCACTGACCCGAGGAGAGGGATATCCACATGACAATTCAGTTTATTGCTCCCAATCGGAATCAGACCGTGCGCACTTGTTTCGTTGGTACGGAGCGCAAGTATGCGTTGCATGGGCGGAGTAATGGAGGATTGATTTCAGGGATGACGAAATTCGGAAAGGAGAAGACGAGGGAGGATAGAAGGGCTCATCATAAGAAATAGCACTCTCTTCGTCCTGAGACATCAATATCTAGCACCTTCATGTATCCAATCCGCATAGTAGGATGATGATAATGGAAAGTGCCCAAGGGAGAGGAGTGAATGAGCGATGAGAGGCACTGGCGTGTGGGATCCAACACATGGATATCGCAATATTCCACTCAGTCAGGTATCATTCCGTGTTTTAAAATTGGTTAAGCCAAAAATAGGTTAGCGTGTATGGAAACAAATAGTGCAGCAGGGAAAGTCGGAATCCCACGTTAATATATTTCACCACCGAGTAACGCACCTGACGCGAAATGCGGCAGATAATTAAACCTTCCTTCTTCAACCACCCACTATGCCACCAATTCGTCCTCAATTCTTGCAAAAACGTACTGAGCAAGTAGGTAGGATCTTATTAGCTATTCACGCTATTCAAAGCAAGAAATTACTCCAAGTCACGAGACAGCGCGTCGTTTTACAGTACCGGAAGCAACCTTACGTCGCCGCCTCCGTTGTTACGTGTCGGTTCAATGTAAGAAAAGAGTGTACATTCCAACGAATACTAAGCATAGAGAAGGAAAGAAAAGGAAAGCAAGTCGCAGGGCTACGTCAGGGCTCTTATACCTTTGCGGGCAAGGCCCTATTCTCGCTTACTTGCCTAAGAAGGAACGACTTCCCTTGGAAAGGAAGGAACGATCAACATGCCTTCCCGATTAGAAAGGCACGATAAGGAACCAAAAGGGAAGGAACGATCCCTTATCGTGATAAAAAATAATAAAAAAAGGGTATTGATGCTACACCCCCCCTTAGGATAATACCAACCCCCTGCCTGAAATTTCAGTACCGCCTTCCTGATCAGGTACCACTCAGAATTCTACCATATTTCTGCCATGTATTCTGCCTACTTCTGGTTTATGGTTTATATAGTAAAAAGACGCATCGGCG